GAAGCCACCTGTGGAGAACCCCAGTGGGGCGGGTGGGTGGGCAGCAGCAGCAGACAGGTTCACTAGTGCCGCTCGGCCCTGGGGGAGGGAAGGCGAGCGGGTACCCAGGAGACAGCCGATCCGCCGGGGCGCTCGAGCTGCCGGAGACCTGGAGCACCGGTCAGGGCCCAGCTGCACGGTGCAGTAGTGCTTGTAGGTAACTGGAAAGTGGCAATTCCTTATATAAAGTATTTATAAATGGCACCTGTGCGTAGGAATTTAACAGTTAGGGAAATGAATCCTTCACCTAGGCACGTGCCAACTCATACACATTCTTGTATTGCTTTAAAAAAACACACTTCAAATACTCTGGTTTTATATGCAGATAGGAAAAAAAAGATCAAATTTCCCAAGAACACTCCACGATTTCTGAGCTCATACTGTACTGATGAAATAACCTGTTTTCTCTCATGCTTCCTTCCGACAGCCACATTTACAGGATGGATACAGGCGAGGAATCCACCCATACCCTCACCCCTGTGCTGTACCAGGTGGTTTCCCCCCACTCACATGTTTGCCTTTTTCCTCACTTTTTGGCACGCTGGCCATGCCACAGCAGCTGCTTGTCACAGCATGGCTGCGGGGGGACGTGAGCCCGCCTTGTGCCTGGGACACTGCACTGTCCACATCTGGCTCCTGTAAGGCAACTGATGCCTAAAACGGTCGGAGGACTTGAACCAGACACAGAATTGAGCTGAATTTGGCAGTTTCCGCTCCGGAGCGCTGCCGTGCTGCTGGTGCCGTGGCGGTCAGACGTGCCAGCTGTGTGCCTTCAGAACACGGGCAGCCTGCAGGCTGAGCAGGTGGCGTTTGGGTAAGATGCAAAACCATCCAAACGGATAATTTTATGGTTTTGAAAATGCTACTCGTGATAATTTCTGCTCTCCTAACCATCCTAGTTAGTAATTAACTTCAAAGTGAAACAAGGTAGGTGGCAACAAAATGTGCGCAACAAAAAAAAAAAGGGGGACACACACACACACCCCAACTAATTATTAAACTGAACACATGTGAGAAAAGCAAACTGTCCCAACAGTGGTGCTGCTAGTGAAATTCATGGCTGGCTCACCACAAAGGCATTTTTTTACTCCCTGAACTGTGGGGTGCTCTCGGTAGCTCCTCACTGGATGCTGCTGGTGGTGCCGCAGATGCTCACAGGGGCTGAAATCGCGCCCCGGGAGGTGGCAGGGGCTCAGCAGACGCCTCTCGCCCTGTGGTGCAGGGTGAGGTAGGGTGTTCCAAGGCCAGCTCCTAGCGCCGGCACTAGTAAAGTTATTTGCGAGAAGTTGGCCTTGTAAAGAGCTTTCTAAACTATAAAAGTTTTGCCTTCAAAACCCTTCTGATATTTTTTTGTTGTTGTTTCGGCATGTCCACCTCTGACCCTTTCCAAGGAGGTGCCTGGAGATCGTACACAGCTCATACAGAGGTATTAATGCAATTTCAGTCTGCTCTCCTTGCTTTATTTTCTGTTCTCTAGTCCAGGTTAGTTTCTGGTGCTCAGGTACAGCTGCTGGGTTAATGAAGAGTCATTGCATGATTGGTTTAAGCAAGGGAAAAAGGCATAGTGCAGAGGTGTTTGTGAGAAAAAAACAATGCTGGAACTGAGTTTTGCGGGTACAACAGTTGATCCTTTCTGCCCTGCTGGTGTCTCATGCACCGGCAGGTGCAAAACCTGAGGAATGAGGTCTGAGCTCTGTCACCCCTCCCTGCCTCAGCTTGCGCCCCGGGGCTCTGCCGCAGGGACCCTCTGGCCAAGGGGACAGGTAGGGAATTTTCATCCGCATCCCAACCGTGCCTTGTCCTGTCAGCTCTGCAGGTCTTTCCTCAAAGCATGGCTGTTGCAAAGCCTGGCCGCAGCACCCGTCCAGCCCGGCACGCGCTAGATGGCCCTCTGCTGCAGCTCTCCTTCAGGGCAAAACGCAGCTTTGCTCCGCGGTAGGATTATCATCTCTGCATATTTTCCTTCTGGTTTAGAGTTTGTTTTGGAGTACCTGTGTTGCTTTGTGGAGGCGAGTGTCTGAATGAAAGCTTACACACTTTAGGAAAAACAATCACTCAAACCAAGAGAGGGGATAAGCAAAAGCAAACACAAATGTCTGGGTGCACAGCTGAGATGGGCACCCAAACAGCTTTTTATTCCCAGGGGGCAGAAAAGCAGCCAGAGATCAGGGCTCGGAAGAGCCACAGCCATGGGGCTGCTGTGTTGGGGACCTGCATGAGCCCCCGGTGAGGAAAACGCGACGCAGGACCTGTCTGGGGCCATGGGAGCTCAGAAAAGCAGCTCGATCTGGTTCAGCAGCTGGGAGTGGGAACATCTCTGTCTCCACAGGGGCCGGGATGGTGGTGGGGAGGGACAGGCTCCTCCTCATCTCCATGGGGATGGGGCTGGTGGCTCCCTGGGACCTACCAGTCAGGGAGGGGCTGGTACCCCCCACCCTCGTGCAGGCCAAGCGGAGAACATCTTGCCTTGGCGCGCTGAAACCACAGCAGACGCATCCATACCTTCATCTCTCCAGACTGTTAAAGCTCAAGGTGAAAGAAAGCACAACGTTCCTTGCAGACATTCGCTTCGTTGGAGGACAGATGCGCGCCACCAGCAGCGCCCAGCCCTCAAGCAGGCCAGCGCCAGGAGTTGTGACAGGGACCTTGGCTGAGTTTAGGGACACTCGGTGTAGGTGCCTTGGGCTGAGAGGGTGGGGCTGTGCCTGCGGGTGAGTCTCAGTTGCTTTCCTCAAAGCTGCCGCTGCTGCTGCAGGAATGAAACCTCATGGTGCTGATGGGGTCCGACACGTAGCCTGCAAGGGGCAGAGACAAGGTCACCTGCGGCTCAGCGTAGCAGCGAGTCTCCCCCCTTCCCCTGCAGTGACAACGTCAACAAGTAGCGTGCGTGTCATTTTGAGATAAACAGGCACAGACCATGCTGATACCTTTGGCTGTCTGCAAATCTCCATTCAGCATCAGCTGCTGAGGAAAAATGTCAATAAGTAGTAAGCTGGCGCTGTCTTTCATGCACTGAACTCATGATAACCAAGCACAAAGAATGTTTAGTGACTGACAGAAAAACATGGATCTCAGTGTTTTAATAACACTGTGGAAGTTTGCCATTAAAAAAACCCCAACCTTCTGCCCTTTCCACGAGAGCTTCGGAGGGCTCAAAATAAGCATATTCTGGTGCTGTTAAACTGAATTTTAATTCTCGACACTACAAAACAGAAAGCAACTGCTCTTGCCAGCACTGTGTTTCCAAGGAGCCGCTCCAACAATGCCAAAGAGACCGTTTCTCCCTTTACAGGGTGTCAGCTGCTCCCAGGCACCTGGATTTTATCACACTAAGAAAAATCCAGTGGCGCCAACCCAAATTTCTCAGTAACTGGGCCTTGTACAGGGATACTCAGATGCTCGGAGTAGATGAACTAGAACACAGAGACCTCCTGGGGCACAGGGTGGGATGGTTGGCACGCGTCATGAAGGCTCCGGTGTGCCAAACGTAAGACACAGCTGCACAAAATGAAGACTCTGCTAATCACAGCAGTGCTGACCACGGCGCCCCGAAGCGTGACCCGTAAGCACGCTGCTTCATCTCCTCGTGACACATTATGCCTTCGCTGATGGCAGCAAAGCGTTTCCTGAGGGGACTCTCCCTCCTCGCCCGAAGGGGCTGGGCCCACGCTGCGCCCGTCCTGCGCCCGGGGAGTGGCGTGCCCAGCACTGCCCCCAAAGCCGTGGTGCCGCGGGGTGATGCTGTGGGACGAGGCACCTTCAGGAGCAGGACGATGCTTCGTGCCGGGCGGAGCTTCGTGCAGGGCTGCCACACGCAGGGGACCTGCTCTTTAATGAATGCTTCCGAGTTTCCAACCCCTCGCCGTATCCTGCGGGTGATGCCCAGGGAGCGCACGCACGTGTCCTCGCGTCGTGGGGCAGCTGCCGCACTGCAAACCTGCCCAGGCCCTTCCCTGAACCGGGAAACTGGGATCACGGGCTGCAGCAGCACCATGAGCTTCTCTGCAGCGTCTGGGAGCTGCAGCAGCAAGGAGAAGCCAGAGCCAAAGTTAAACTCCGTATTTACACCAGTCTGAACTTCAGAGGCTAGAGCGCGTTCTCTGGGCAGTGTGCATCTGCCTCGCGGTTCCGCTGCTTTCAGGGGACCATTTAACTCACAATTTGTGAAACTTCCCCGGCAGAGCCGGTGCTTTGCTCTCACTGAAAGAGTCAGAGCTGTGTTTACTTGTAGCATTTCTATTTTCAGATGCACTCAAAGAAGAAAATTGTTTGCTATCCCCGAGGCTGTGGCAGGAATGGGAGCAGGATGCTCTGGGGACTTTTATGGAGAGAGGAGAACAGTGAATGTATTCTCTATTGTTTACAGGCTGCAAGTGCAAATTAGGGTAATGGAAAGCATTAGGCAAAAAGCAAACAGAAGGAAAAAAGATCAAAATGGACATGAATGGGGAGAGACAGCAGTGAAATTGGCTTATGTGGCATAAATAAAGAGTGCAAATATTTGCGATCATTAGCGCAAGCACTCTAGTGGAAGGGGCCCAGAACCTGCTGTCTCAGGTGTGCTTTCCCTGGGCCGGGTCTCCAGGGCCGCTGCACCCAGGCCTTGGCCAGGGGGATGCTGGTTCTGCTCGTCCTCGGGCTCCACGTCCCGGTGACTCGGGCTGCGGGAGTCGCCTGCCCAGTGCTGCTGTGTCTGGCAGGCAGGACCTGCCCTTTCCTCGGCACCGTCCTGGCCTTTTCCATCGTTGGGCGAGCGAGCGCAAGGCTCGGCTTGGCCAGCCCTTGGCTGTGACCACGGTCCTGGGGCCCCGACCAGCCGCATCCTGCTCCTGTGCTTTGGGTCCCTTCTGTGGAAGCTGTGGTCCAAGGAACAGGTATATTGAAAACTCTTGATGTCTCGTGAGTGCACTCTGAAATCACTCGTGAATCCCACGGGTCAGACGCCTCCACCAGCCCTTCACTCCCTTTTGTCCCTTTTTAACACAGACTTGAGAAACCCTCTGCAGCATTGCCTGGATGGTTTAGTTCACTCAACATTCCTGTTTCGTTCTTGTTTTCTTCCTCCTCGAGCTTTCCAGTTGCCAGGTACCCGATGAAAGCCCCGAGCTCTCTGTAGCTGTGGGATCCACATGCAACAAGCAATAACAGTTTTTGTTCTTTTTTTCAGTTTCGAAGGTCATTACCTCACTACTCCTTATGAGAGCAACACTGCTGTTAGTGTTGTACTCACTAAATATTTATATGACCAGGTTTTCTCTTTTTCTCACCCAAGGTGCACAGTTTAGGGGAGGGAGTGCAAGAGTCATGCTGAGGCCCCTGAAAACCAGCAAAGCTGAGGAGCTTCTGATATGTGCGTCGGGCAGAACAAACCCTGAATTCTCCTGGTGACAGAACAGGTTGGGGAGTGCAGATGTGAGCAGGGTTTGTGGTGTCAGTCTGCACTCCAGGAGTAGCTCCGTCTCACCCAGCCTCTGCCAAAGCAGAGGGTGTAACGCCACCTCCTTGCTCCCAGACCCACCACCTCGACCGAAAGGGCCCCCAGCTCTGGCGTCTTGGGGGCAGCCGCCGTGGAAGCCGCCGCGAGCTGTGGGAGCCCTGGGACAGCCCTCGCCAGCGCTGAACGCTGCTTTTCTCACGAGGCTTTCTGGTACCTCAGCGAGGTTTTGGTTAACCGCAGCAAGATGCTCAGAGAAGCATTCTGCATTAACTCACCATTTTTGTCGATTGGCGGGTACTGGAAGTTTCTTCTCATCTCATCCAAAGACAGACCCTGGGAAGGGTGTTGCCCAGCGCTGCAAATAATTAAATAAGAGGTGTCTGTTTAGATAAAACTGATAACGTCACATCTCCAGACCATAAGAACTTCTACATGGAAGGAAAATGCAGTAACATAAACCACATCAGCCTGATGCCCAGCCACTGGCCTTTGCACTAAACAAAAAACAAGAGGAAGTTATGAAGAGAGGCTGAAGCACAAAACCCAGTGACTGACTGGCTGAAAGGACTGCAGACAGCTACTGCAGCACCCGCAGGCTGTGGGAAGGGCCAGGATGTCTCCAGGGGAAGAAATAAAATGTATACTTTGCTTGAATTCTTAGTGCAGCGCTCACAGGGTATTTCTTGACGTGTTGGCCCAGAGAGATGGCCCCGGGCCTCCTGGCTGGCCGGCAGCTGTGGAGGAACCACAGCTCTGCTCTGTCCCACGTGAGGATTTCCGCAGAAAGGAGAAACTCAAGCGAGTTACTTGGCCTCTTTGCCCTTGGAGCAGCTCAGAGCAAAACCAGCAGACATGAATCCTCTGGTTTTGTAAACATAGAAAAAAAAAGATGGAGAGACTCGCTGCATCCCGTTGTGCCGGAGAGCTAAACAGACACTAAAGTCATGGGGCAAGAACAACCGAACAGCCGCAGCGTCACGGCTGCCCGGCTCCACGCACGGCGCACGGAGGGTTCAGGGGACGAATTGTTTCTGCCCTGGTGAGAAGCTGTGCGCTGCGGGGCTTCACAGGATGGGATGTCGGTGGAGCGGTGAAAACAGGAGGCAGCCCTGGAAATACAGTCCAGCTGGGGAAAGAAACAACGCGACCCCCCTCCTTCTGAAGATGCCTGTGCTTACAGAAACAGAACCCTAAGAAACAACTGTCGTTGGGAAGTGAGGTCATGAATCACCTCAGCGTGTTGTGTAATTGAAAACCTACTACAGCAACGGTGGAAACCCTTCCCTTTGCATCAAGCGTTGTGCCTCTGGGAGAATCTTTCTGGGTGCTGGTTATAGACTTGAATGTCGTCAGTTTGTACGGCAGAGCCTCTGATAAAAGAATCCGCCTTTCCAAAGGGGCCGGGGTGCAGAGGAGCCTGTTTCAGTGGGCAGACAGGCCCCGGCGCTGCCGCAGGAACCCCGAACCACAGGACACGAGAGGCCCTCGCAAGTGCCCCCCACCCCCGTGTCAACACTAACCTCAGTATGCCACTGCCTTATTCCTTTCATGCAAATTCGTACATTCAACAGCAAAATCAGGCCCTTTACAGAAAATAAAAACCTGGCTCACACTGCCTTCACCCGGACCCCAGTGCCTGTCCTGCTCCAGCAGCGCGACACAGGCAGGGCGTCGCCTTCTGCCAGATGAACATTTCAGGTCTGATCTCTATTTTCACGCAGAAGATTTCAGGGTCTGCAGGCGTTTGCCTCCGGCCTCCCCATCCGAGCCCCCGAACAGGCAAAGGACTGATTCGTTTTGCTCCCGATTCCAGCTCCCGTCTTAGCTGGTTGAATTTCTGGCTCTCCACACCTCCGTTACCAGGAGCCAACCACCAGGGCAGGGCTTGCTCTGCTATTACCGTTTCTGGCTGCTAAGTGGTGCTAAAGGGTAAAGTTTGGTCCAAGCTCGTGGCTCCCCTGGCAGAGATTAAGAGCACCGGTTCTGTTTCACCGCACTCCCGCTCCGCATTGGATGGAAACAGGAGATTGCTAAATTTGCCCTCAAAACCAGGTCTCCCAAGAGGTAGGGCAGACTTAATGGGTCGATAATATAGACAGCCCACATGTGACTTTGCCTTAAAAAATACTTCGCGTTCCTCTTATTCTTCTGTGTTCATAAATTGAGCAACAGGCAGGTTTTAGGACGCACTCTGGTAGGAACAGCCCCAGCAGTCCTGACTCCCGCAGATCTCTGAGGCTGAGACCCTTCCCTTCTTCCTCAAGGAAAAGGGACTTGGCATTAGTGTCTCTGCCTCTGTCCCTGTTGCCGGCTGCCTGTCCCTGCCCTTCTCAGCAGGGGCACCTGCCCCGCCGCTCCATCGGCCAGCAGCACGGCCCCTCAGCCCTCAGCCACGGCACCGTTCCAGAGCAAGATGAAAAAAACAAAACTAGAATCCAGACCTGAGAAGCACAACATCAGAAGGCAGCACCTCTTCAATTACTTTGCTTTCTCCCGCAGCTGCTCTTGGGGATCACTGATCTCTCCCTGTTTTATCTTCATCACAGGCTCCTATGGTCGGAGAACTGGGTGTTCTTCCTGTCCATAAAGCTCCCTCTTGTTAAATAAACTCCACTGCTACTACGAGTCTAACAGAGGGGAGGGCACGTCAGAAATTAGCTTTCACACACTTGGTTGGGCACAAGCTATGCACTCCGTGAGGGGGACCTGTACCTATAAATGTAACAGGAAACAAACTTTCTTGTACATAATAACGATCATGGCATCCCAGTGTGACCTTTCTTCCCAAATTTGCTCATTTCTAGGATTTTCAGCTGGGTTTTTCCTCCTCCTCCTAATCAGAGGGACACGTCTGCCTTGTATTTTGGCAGAGAGAACAAGTCATGCTTCTGATGCGAGTCAGCAGATACCGGCTTTCTGCAGGGCTTCGGTTTGTGCTGAGAGGGGAGCTCATGGGAGAGGGAGAGCTCTGGCCCGCTGCAAGGACCAGCAAACCTGCCCTGGCGTGCCATGCCAACTCAGCCTTCTCTGATTTCAGAGAGCATGCAGAGGTTGTACTGCCTCTGGTCTGACAAATGGTCTGTCGCCCCCACAGCAGCTCCCGCGGGAGTCCGCGCCCTCCCGGGAAGGGCTCGGCTTGGCAGCAGGGACTGCTCTGGGGGGGCTCAGTGCCACCCGCCTCCAGCCACCTCCTGTGGCTCCGAAATGCTGCCCGTGGTCTAACCTGGGTTTTCCATCTTGGCACTAATGCCACACACTGCAATATTTTTTTCTTTTTTCTTTTTTTTCTTTTTTAAATCTAAAGAAAAACATGTCTTTTAGCTTTTCTTTGGTGAAATTTTTCAAATTGAAAATGCCTTGTGATATAAACACTGTCCTTCCCAGAGCTGTGGGCAGGTAGGGAAGGTACATCCATCTAGTGACCACTTGACGCTGTCCCCGTGGAGGGGCAGCCCTCAGCCCTTTGTTTCCTGGGATAAAGCACTGGCACTGCATGCAGAGCCTGTGCGCGGAGGGACTCGATTTTCTACTATTTTGATGTTACTCACAGTGAAAAGTGCAAAGGCTGAGCTGTTGTCTTGGCAGCAGGATGGCTTCCACAGCGCTCAGATAACCCAGACACCCCCCGCTACAGTGGTTATGGGAAGGGACAAGACTGCAGAAGTGCTTTCCCCGGCCGCTGACCAACCCCGGGGTGTGCTCCTACCCTCTGCCTTCCCACACAGCCACGTCCCCCAGTTGGGCACAATCCCTGCTGCAGGGAGCCCCCGTTCTGGGCGTGAGCCCCGTGGCCGCGGGCAGGACGCGGTCCATCCGATCAGAGCCAGGGCTCTCCTCAGCCCCCGCGACCGTCCGTACCTCTGGGACCAGACGGCGTAAGCCCGCGCGTTCAGGGCGTACTCCAGTTCAAAGCGACTGCGGAGTGCTGCAACGTGGCTACGGCCAGGGCCCCCGCGCCCAGCGAGGCAGTCCGACGACGAGGAGGGAGACAGAGAGCCACTGCTGTTGCTGGAGGCTGGAGACATTAACTGGATTAAAAAAAAAAAAAAAAAAAAAAAAAAGTGTGTCTTTTATTACATATTTACAAGTCTTTCCTCAGCGCCCTCTTGTAAGTTGTGTCCCCCACATTTATAGAGAGATTTATAGATCAGGTGGGGAGGTGTGGGTGCTGCCTGCCAAATGAAGTGCTTAATTCATCGTGGCCCAGGGTCTCCAAGCTGGGGTCAGGTGGCTCCCAGGAGATGGGGCAGCCACGAGTTCTCTGGCCTGGGAGCATCCATGGGCAGGTGGGAGACGTCCCTGCCTGCGTGGGGGGAGCCGCGGGCCGGGGCCTCCCCAGCTGTGCCGGAGAGGGGTCAGTGGTGCCCGAGGCAGTGGGGGTGTCCGAGCGTCCCGGACAGGGACCCCCAGGGACGGGCAGCGTGAGTGCGGGGCTGGCATGGCCTGTGGGCTTGTACACATGGACCAGCCCCACAGCCCGGGCACCCGCCGCAGCAGGGACCTCGGCTGCCTGGCACAAAAGGTCCCTGCTGCTCCTCAGGAGGAGAAGGAACCATCTGAGAGAGGAGAAGGAAAAAGAGAGGAAATAGAGGGAGGTGGAAAACTCCCCGCCTTCATCGGCTGCAGTACTTGACTTCCTGGGGATATTGCTCCTTGAAACTCCCCTCAAACGAGGCTTTGTCCTGGGCACAGCGGAGCCCCGGTCTCACTCCCCGGCTAGACAATGCTGTGTGTTTTTCTTTTTGTGTGTAAGCTCTTGCCCCAGATTTCTTCCTCCACGCGTTGCTGCCTATGTATCACAGAAGTCAGGTCTCCCATGACACGACAGAGTTTCTTATGATATAGTGCTTCACTTTTTTTTTTTTTTTACACTTAAAAGCTTTCACCTACGCACAGAGCAACCAGCTGCTGTCAGAGCATGAAGAAATGTAATAGATTATGGGTGTCTTTTCTGACCCTTAAGCTCAAGCGCAGCGATCCATTTTAAAAGGAGGTTGGTTTTTTGTTTTTTTATTTAAAACTCTTATGTGCATATGCGCACACACATACACATGCACAGAGAGAATATAATTTCAGGAACTGCATCCCTGAATCATTTACTTTCTGTATCTACACCGGGCCGAAGGCTGATACATCCATCTGTGTCACAGCCCCACTCCAAAGCAGGAATTGCCTTTGCATTTACCCTTCCTGTGTTCTCTCTTTTTACCTTTCTCCCAGGGGTCTTGGCCAGTCTGTCTTCTTTTTAAACCAAAGTCTTGAATGGGACGCAGGGGAGTAGAGTTCTGCCTGGGAGGGCTGTGAAGTGCATCCCACGGCACCATCACGCTCTCCCTTCAGCTACTCCCCGAGTAGCTCCTGACACGCCCAGCGGTACCCGGTCCCTGCCTCTTCCTCCTGGCACCCCTGCAAACCTCTGATGACAACGTGCCTTGAAACCACGGCGTGCAGTGGGATGGAGCCCAGGCGGCTCGCAGGCTCCAAAGCCACCACTTCCCCCAGGCACTTGAGCGCCCGACCACGCGCAGACGCTCCCGGCGGAGGGAAGGTCCTTACCTCAATGTTGCACAGACATTCCTCTAATTTCGTGACTACTTCTGAAAACTCCGGTCTCCCCTGTGAACGTGATAGAAAAAAGCAGAGCGGTGTTAAAAAGAGAAGGGGGCATATTCTCTGTGTTTACACTGACTGATAGATGTGTGGTGAATCACATCTCCCCTCCGCTTCCCCTCCGCTGGGTTTCAGACCCAAATGGCTCTGGGTCTGCTGGGAACCCAGTGGGAGCTGCACGTCCTGTGCCAGGCTGGGAAGCGAAGAGGTGTGTGTGCAGCAACTCGGACGGAGTTATTCCTCTCTTTGTCTGTAACAACGCGATTTCAGCTCATAATGACCAGGTCAGGAGATTACAAACATACTAACAATAAATTCCTGGCCCTGCTGGCACATCAGGCGTTCCCCCTTGTTGCTCACCCACCGGACCTTGGGCACAGCGATGGCCGTGAGGAGCCCCCCAGCGCTGCACTCACATCACCCATGTGCCCCATCCCCGCAACTGCCCCCCGCTCCCAGACACGGCTCCATCCCCGCCTGTTTTATGTCCGCAAGAGTCCGCGAGGGACAGGATCGGGCAACAACAAACACACTCCTCCCCGGTACCGCTGAGCCATGCCCCGCTCCCAGCACAGTCCCCAGGGCAGCTCAGGTGTCGCGTACAGCAGGGCTGGACAGCGGAGGACTGGGAATGCCTTAATGAAGTAACTGTTAAAGCAGCCCCTCACTCCCATCACATCTTCCTCACAGCATTGCCTGCAGGGGGCAGGTGTAATATTTTGCTCATTATGGTGCTTCACTAATGGCATTCGGTCCCTCCCCTGGAGCGGTACGCTCAGGAGCCATCCCTGTGTCAAGGATTAATCTACATGCTCCATAGCTAAGCGAGACACTTTGGCAGAATTGCCTGTTAATCTCTGCAGTGAATTTACAGTAGGTCCGTATCGATGGGTGCAGGGTAGGCTGCTGCTGCGCAGCAAACCGTGCTGACGAGAGCACGCTGCTTTGTGCTTCTCTGCCCAGTGCCCCTCCTGAAGCTATTCCAAGGCCCTCGGGAGTAACTCAAAACCTTTGTTACTGAGAATGGTAACAAAACGCCTTCAATAAAGCTAATTTCACTAAGTTTCTGCCCACATCTCGTGCAAAGTTCAAGGCATCTACTGGCTGATCGAGCTATCAATTGCCTCGTATTTCTATCACGCAGCTCTAAAGCATCAGCAAGATTAAGTGATGTTGGAGTGGTACTGATGAGTAACAAAGTGCATTAGGATTCCAGAAAGATGGTTTCTTTTTATTGGGGCTAAATGAGCTGTGGAAATGCTAACAACATACAGTGACTACATCCATTACATAGTGCTTGCTTAAGTCAACAATTTAATATGACATCTTATTAATAAATTTAAACAGAATGTGATTTACATGCTGATGATTATTAGCAGCTACTTTATGGTTACATGGAAGACAAACCAAGCCACACCTCTCCCCCACCCTAATATTAGCTCATGGAGTGCAAAGACGAGAGCACATTCAAGACGCCAGGAAGCACTAATAACAACAAACAAACTAGCGATAAAATAAATTAGCTACGCCCTACAAATACACCGTATCTGCCACCCTCACCCCGCCACATCCCGTACGTAACCAGTAAGGAACACGGGGACAAAGCCCACTGCAGTCTGTTGGTCGACCCAAGTCACACAAACCTCCCTCTCCCCCGTCTTGGTTGAGCACTTGAGCAACGTGCTTTAGTTCAGTAAACCAGGTCAGAAATCTCTCAGGTATCCAGGACAAGGACAGGTTTAGGGACACAATAACCAGTTTTTCTAATCTAGGGTAACTACAGAACTCCAGGGCACAAATCCAGGACTCTCTCGAGTAGAAGATTCAAAGCCAGAGTATCTGGTTCAGTAACATGAGGCTGTAATATGAAATAAGGCCTCCTGTAACACCAGAAAACGACACAGGTTCTAAAATCTGCTCCTATTAATCAGAAATGAAACTTCCCTGTTGCCCAACGAAGGCCTCAAATGCCAGAATAGCACCAGAACATCCAATCAAACCAAGTTTCCAAACCCAGAGCCTACCCCCAGACTGCTTCTTGGTGGAACATTTTCTAAGCAAACTGAATTTCCAGTCTCTGGAGCGTATTTCTTGAGCCACGTGCCAAAATCGCCCTGCAGCTGCTGCAGGGGCGTTTGCAGAGGTGACGTTATAGTCCATGTGGGGTCCCTCTCCATAGTCCCTTACGGGAGAAAGGCTTCACAGAGCCGACAGTCATCTGGCTGCTCTTTCCATCACCAGGAACGCTGCCAGAGCCCAGAAGCGATGAACAAACCCGACATTCTCATGCTCTACAAATGCCAAAGCAGGAACACTGTCCGTAAGACAGCCTCGACTGGTCTGAGCCCACGCAGGTGCCCTCACACCCCGATACCCACATCTGAGTTTCCACGTGCAAACGCAAGGATCTGGGCATAATCCACCCAGTCAGGAGACACAGCGGGGTCGTGGCACCAGAGGAGTGCTGGTTATCCACCCGCCCGTGGAAGACCTGACCCTCGGTATAAGGACAAAGATCAGCCAGGGGAGGGTCGCTGCTGTTCCTCTGGCACCACTCAGTCCTGCTGTGGCCCCAAAGGCCCCCAGTCTGAGGACAACGGTGCTTTTGCAACCTTGCCTCAGTTAGCTCGTGTTCCCTGTAGTGCAGAAACAGCAACAGAAGGCGAAAGCCAGCCCAGAGCGATCAATCTTTAACCACCGTTCTGTAATCTCAGAAGGGAACGCTTTTATTATCCTTTATGCTGTTGCTATTGAGTTAACCGGGATAATCGGACAGACTTCTCCAGTCATTAGAAACCAGCCACAGCTGCAGCACGTGAGAAAGGTGCCGTAGCAACCACCTTACCGCAGTAACTCCTTGTTAAATCAGACTCCTCCCGCAGACGTTGCTGGGCTCCGACACAGTGATTACAGCAGATGCAACACACATTTTTGAAACTCACAGTACAGTTGCTTTCTATCCTAAAGAGGAGCTTATTGATCGTAACACGTATCTGACATTTGTCTTTATCAGCATTAATCAGAGTCCCACGTGAAAATTCCCAGGGTATCAGCTGGGGAAGAAGGATTCATTGTGTTTACCATTCTAAGCCTCTCAGAAATTAAATTCCATATCATATAGGGGGAAAATTGAAATAATAGCAAGACCTATTCCAGCTGTCTAAGCGCTTATGGGAGAGGCCTATTTTAGGATTAGCAGTGATGTAGCTGATGAGCTGCAGGCGGGCTGTGTGTGTGAAACCCATCCATCATCGGGCCGTGCCCCACCGGCCTCCAAGCGGTGCTGCTTTCCTACCTCCCTGAGCAATGAAAAATGCATCCCAAAACAGCAGCAATGATAATAAGCAATGTGTTAATTTTAAAATATAATAGGACAGGTGGCTTTCAGTTTTTCAGACAAATATGTCATGTCATGCCACAGCCAAAAAAAAAAAAAAAAAAAAAAAAAACAGATGACAGCCCATCCTGCTTCCAATAAATGATGGAGGGCCTGGGTAAAGCGGGAGGCTGGTCCCTGCAGCCCCCCCGGGTGGGATGGAGAGGATGGCAGCGAGCTCTCGGGGGAAGCACAAGGCACTGGTGTGACCCCCGGGGCCGTTAACGCTTTGACACGTGGTTGTCTGAGAGACCCTCCCCGTGCTCCTGCGCCGATGTCCCATTCCCCAGCGTGTGTGTGTCCTGTCAGTGACCCCTCCTCTGTCCCCACAGACACCAAACAAGGGGCCACCAGACTGTGGCTTGGGCAAAGCACGGCTGTCCCCAGGCCTTTGGGAGAGACTGGCAGCTGGCTGTGTTTGTTCTGGTTTAGTACCCAAGATGTATTTGCCACTGGATATTTAGAGAGCTGTCAGCATGGTATGAGTACTCCTTGAATAAAGCAATATTAATTAGAGGAACAGACACTTCCCTGGGATTTCAGAAATTAAAAAGCAACGAGTAAATATTTTCCCCTCCAATAATCCAAAAGAACCCCTTTCTTTGCCTTGGAACAAGTGAAAAACATGGCTTGCCAGCTCCAAATATCACAAATATAATCTTCTCAGGATTAAAGCTACAATAGGAAACGGAAATCAAGAGCCAGAATATTTCTACAATTTGGAATTTACGTTCCTGTTTCTCTTTTACAGCTGCTTCTGTACAACCCAATGCCTTAAGCATCTCTTATGGGATGCTTGCAACAAGTCAGAGGTTCTGTGCCCCGGACAAAAGGAGCAGTTCCAGGAAACGGGAAGATGCTGCGGGATGAAGACAAAGGCCCCGGGGTGCTGGCAGAGGGGATTTTCCTGCCTGGGGCTCAGCGCCAGCCCGGTCCGTGGCTCTGCCCCCACTGAACACCCCACGTGTGCCGGCTTTGGACTGACACTGGGGCAGCGCGTGGCGCTGTCGCTGACACGTCTTTGAGCATCTGGAGGTGGCTGCGGCGGTTTCTCCTCAAATCCCACATAACACTTCACGCTTGTCACCTACCTCCTCCTTTCACCCGTGTCTGTGTGCAGGCCCTCTCTTCTGCACAGCTGCCAAAAGCCACCCTGGAACAGCCCTTTTCATCCGAAGGCCTTGCCCGTGGCCGTGCCACTGCCTGCAGCCCGTCACCTCAGGCCGAGATCTCCCGCAAGATCTCGGCTCAGAAGGGGTAGGCACAGCCCGCGCTTGGAAGCAAAACAAAATATGACAGCCCATCCTGGAGCCCAGGGGTTGTTTTCTTTGCTGCTTTTAATTCTTCCTCTTGCTTGGGTTAATCATGGTTTTGCATTTATTATTGCTGTCCTAATCTTGCACTCAGGTTACAAGTAAAACCTACGGAGGAATATATTGGACTAACATGAGGTCGGGACAGGAAAGCAGTATATTTGGTTTGACTGAAAAGCAGCAGAACAGTACAAGACTCAAGATTTTCCTACTCTATCCTTCAGAAAACCGATGGATTTTTTTTAATCAGCAACAAAATTATCTTTAAAAAAACCCCTCACACTCACTCAAGATACAGACACATGCCCAGGACTCCAGAGTAACGGTGTGCCATTGAGGACAGCGGCGTTTGGATGACCAACACCAGAGGAGTTACCTTTAGAATAATAAAACACCACCAGAGCACCTGCAGTACTCTCCGCGGAAGGGATCATGAAGTGATTCTTCTTAAGAAGGAAATCAAGAAGTGTGCCCTGGTTTTGTGCCACTTTAAAGTTCAATCAGTTAATTTTGTTGGGCATTATAAGATGCCGCTGTAACATGAGAGTGTCATCCCCACAGTGCTCTAAGGTGACAATGTCTTATCCGTCCTGGGGTTAAGATCTTTCATCCCTACTAGGAAACAGTCTTACCTCAAACGCAGGAACTGTGATAAGTTCCAGAGTTATTCTAGGGGAAAAAAACCCATAAAGGTGGAGAAAAGAACAAAAATAAGTAGCAGAATAACAGAAGAGTGTGTAATGGTGAAGAGCTAGCTGCCCTTATCAGCTGGAGTCAAGAGAAGAGGAATGCCAAAAACCGGCAGCTGTTACGTACCTAAGGTAGCAAAGGGGATGGGTGTTACCATCGGCTCCTGTGAGGCAGGATCACAGGAAAAGCAACTGCAAAGCGCTGGCGTCAGACCCAAAATGATTATTTGTGAAGCTAGAAGACGCAGGAGTTCAGAAACAATAAATGGGAAAGGTAAATGGTCTCCATTCGGGATCTTCCTGGAAATCAAAGCTGTGTCAGAGAAGACCAAGCCAAATGGAAAAGTAAAATGAAAATAAGGGGACACGTTGACTGTAAAATTAAGTTTGCATCCAAGATTAGAATCCAGCCAGGCGGACTGTCCTGTAGTGAACAGCTGGAACAGAACATCGGTCACCAGCACAAGGAACTGCTGAATGAAGTGCTGAGAAAACTGCCAGCAGGTTTGAGAATACAGCTGATGCAAGCAGAAAGAAAAGTAAAGCCGGTAACTTGTACGATCATCAATTAGCACACTAGTGTTCATGAAGATGAAGAGATTCACGCCAAAAGCCTTGCTCTGCACATTGTGACTAGCAGCCTCCGCCTGGGAGCAAACCCACGGGAGGTGCAGTCAGGACACAAATAGTGTTAGACACCAGAGAACTGTCGGGGCCTGCAGTGTCGCGGTAGTGGATGTTTATCACCCTTCCCACAGTATTTCCGATGGAAGAAGAGGAAGGGTCAAAGGCAGAATTCCTAAAGAACAAAAAGCACCTTGCCTCCGTTCTCATCCTCTCAGACTGAAGACGTTTCTCTCCTATTTTCAACCCTGAATTGCAGAATGTATTTCCTGCAGAGGGAAATTAAGGTGATGTGATGGAGGCCACAGGATTACATGAGCAGAGACATTTAAAAACAGGAAAAAAAATGCCAATTCTTCTTCAGGTCTCACTAATGAGCCAGGAGTGGTGAAGAACTCGGATGAAAAAATCCTAACATTGAATTGGGTAGAGAGAGAGGACCAGTTTTTGAACATACAGCACAATACTTCAGCCAAAGCCAGGAATACAAAATCCAGAGCAAAAATGTAACTATAGCAGAAATATCAAGGATTTGGGAAGCACATGAAAACATTCGCAAGGAGGCCTGTCTGTTGTACATCCTGGAATTCAGCTGCTGTGGCCCAGGTCTCTACAAAGAATGGTGCAATTTCAACACACACACTGATCCCTGTTAGAGTCACCAAGTTTATACTTGAGTATGCTGGTTAACTGGCAGTTAACTAGAGGTTAAAAAAAAAAAAAAAAAAAAGAGAGAAATTGATATTGCAGACAACCTGAACAGGACTGATAACACTGGAGAAGGTGGAACAGAACAGAGGAACCACAATGCCACTTAATGAAAAAGAATTGAAGTTGAAAACATTATTTTTCAGACACACAAATACTCTCAGATACCAAACCAGAAAATATGCTACAGATTTTGGAGAATGTGAAGAGCAAAATATATTAACAGTATAAAAAAAGCATCAGGTTACACCTAGTACAGCCAGCGTCCTCAGTCCTACAGAAAATAGAAATATGTTACTGGGCAGTGATACCAGTCTTCAAATCGACAGTGCCGTGCGTACAGAGGACACGCAGAATCTGCAAGACTTGGAAAACAATCAACCCTGTCAAGTCAGCAATGAACTCTATGCAGCTGAAAAGCCCCTGGAAGAACGTGAAGGGGCTTTGTTACCGGAACGAGGAGACAGCAGAAAATGAGACGCCTTTAATTCCTTGCAGAATAAACGAAGCTGAAAACTCCACTACAAAAGTATATTGTACCCACCATCTGTGGAATATGCTAATGCATCACCTTTTGGAGGCAAGAGAAAGTGAGGAAAAGGCCTCGTCACGACAGTGCTCTTTCCCTTTCTTCAAACCTACAGGCAGACTGACCCAGCCTTCCTGGAAGTTATGAGCATCACGTGGTGGGGAATTTCAACAGGGCCAAAATCGTAAAATGGTTTTGGATTAAAGTATTAGAAAAAAATTAAAGGCAATTCAGCTCAAGTAATTTCACTCAATTAACCGCGTAGTGGTTCTGGCAATGGGAAGAATCAGGCAGGAACCACACCTGGTGTGTGAGACAAGCACCGCCACAGAATACAAGCGAGAGGAAGATAACCCATGGAAAGTTCACTGACCGGAGCAGCCAGGGGTATTTATGACCTGGAACGTACAGCGCGAATTTTATTCAATGTGAAAATTTACATTTGCACTTCTCAAGACCACGTCTGCTCTCTGTAACGTACAATTTGCAGCACTTAAAACATTTCAGCGCTCGGCTTATTACCGTTTGCTTGACTGAAAGTACAAAATCGGTTTTTATACCGGCATCCATTAAGTTCTATCCTAATGTCACTTCGCTGGGTAAGTTGTCTGGCCTTCCTTCCCCCGTAAAGCACAGGTACCCGCTGAGTCGCTGGTGGTAGGGGCTGGTGTCTGGCTCCCCCAGCACGGCTGCTTTTGAGACCCCGGGGCGGCGATGCCGTGACCAGTCACCACACGCTCGCCAAACGCTTCGCTAGCGCTGCTGCTCGAAAACCAGACTTTAACACAGTTGTTCTGAGAATATAAAAAATATTCTTAACTCTTTCCTTGCATTTTCAGACCCACAGGTCTGAAAGTTATCACTAAAAGATCACCTTACGAGGACTAGTCTCTTGGACTAGGCAATGTGTCCTCAGTGGTCTTATCTACTCTGCGTTTGAGAGGAGAAAAATGTATTGCTTTAAAGGCATGAAACACAGTGATAAATATACATACATACATATATATATATATGTGTGTGTGTGTGTTTCACAAAATGCAAATACACAAGATCAGCATACGGAGTTCAATTTACGGCAGCTTAAAAAACCCCACAAAACAGTGAGAAGTTTTGGCTATTATGGAGAGCAGTTGCCATGAAGAACAAAGAGTCCCCAGACTGATCCCTGTTTCTCTCAGAAACGGGATTTCTCGTGATTTCTGACTGCGTGTCCTATCCCCAGCTATTCCCAGCACAGGGATCGCAGCAGCCTGCGGGAATGCCGGGGAGAGGAGTTCTGATTGTCTGCGGGTCACGCCTCCTGCGCTTGTACCCTGTTAGCGTATCATGGAATGGCCTCAGGACATGGTATAAAAGTAGTCAGAAGTTTAAAAACTTCCAGGGCAACTTAGGTCCTCTTTGTGATGTACGGATGTTATTTATCAAATGGAAAAAAAATCAAGAATTCATAGAAAATACTTAAAAAAGTCTGAGGGCAGCAGGCATTTTTCTACTCAATAAAAACTCAAGTCATAATCAAAGTCACATAATATTTAAAGTTTTGTCGAATGACTAAACATTCATTTATTTCCCCCTCAATTCACCAGCCCTCTGTGTTTGACACACACTGTGATCTCTGAGGGCTCTCTGCCGCGGCACCTGCCTCGGGCGCGTTTGGGGCAGGCACACGACGCCGGGCGTTGGGTTGGGGTTTTCCGGCCATGGAGGCACTCACCTCGGGACAGGCGTTCCAGCCCCTCATCAGCAGGGTGGAGATGGGCTTGGGGATGGAGTACCCGATGGGCGGGCGGATGTGGTGGTACGCCATGTCGGCCGCCGCCGCCGCTGCAAGCAAACAGCCCGACAGAAACCCGTTAGCACCCAGCAGCCACGCACGCTCCCAGCAAAACACAACCTGCTCACCTCCGAGATACACCCGCCAGGCACAGGAACCCTGAACCTTCGACTAAAGACTTGTAGCTCAAAGGGACTGTCCAGTCCCTCCTGTTTCTAAAGCTAGGGCGGCCCATAACCTTGAGTGGAGACACACTGCTGTAAAGACTGAGCACGCGTGAAGGCAACCTAAATTAGCTTAAACCCCTAAAAATAAAAAGGGTCTTTGGGGGGGGAAGAATTAACCTTCAGCTCACTTAAAAAATTTATTATCTTCTTTATTAAGACTGGGTGACAACTGGTGTACTCCAGTTGCAGATATACTGTCAGATCTCTTAACCCAAGGCTCGTTCTGTTATGGTATAAGACAGAAATTAATTTTCAGAGTTTCTTTACTAAAAAAAAAATAAATCTAGTGAGTGCCTTCTTATAAGTGCAGGCCACTACTTAATGAAACAAAATTGCCAAAATGCTTCCCTAATTGGATTTACATGTTCACTGCATTCAAATACATGGTTAATCCCTCTCATTCCTTTTGAGCGCAATTTTTTCCAAGTCAAAACAAATGTATTTTGGACTCTTATCAAAAGGTAAGTAAAATCATTTGTTTGCTGACACTTTAAAATGATGTGATCAGAGGATATGCGACGTGCGGGGAACTCTGAGATGGGAACCATGAGACTAAGGAGAACGGTCCGGGGTTTTGTAACCATGGCGGTTCTCATCACAGCATTCATCACAACCCACGGTAGCGTCAGCCACTGTCTGTCCCCGTTGCAGCTTTTGTCTGCGTAGTGGTGTTTCAGAACGTTGATACCAGATAAATCCTGTGATAGCGTAACTGTATGTTGGCAGGAGGGGCAAACACGAGCCGCCTGATTTTGATTCCCCTCTGATGAGGTTTTGAAGGATGACTCAGATATAGCGGGTTCTCTTTTGCCCGGCAGGCACTACGAAACGAGGGCAAATGCAAATCAGATTCAGGCAGCAGTGAAATACGCTCCAGTTCTTTTCTGCCACAGGTAACGTTAGTGAAATATTACCTATTGGCAAAAATCTCATTTTACTAAAGTTAATGGGATTTATTCCATCAGTTTAACGGGGTCAGGATTAGAAAAAGAGAAGGAGAAACACACCGCGTGCCTCTGTATGCTTCTGAAGTACCGTATTTGTGTCACTACTGTTGGGGCTCTCCTTTCACTGCCAGGTTTTTTCTTCAGCTAAGAAATGCAGATGTTAAAAAGTACTTTAGATTGGTTGAATTAAATGACAAGAATCTATTTTTTCTCAAAAATGAGTAAAAGAGAAAAGAGTTTGGGTGGTGCCCAGATCTCTGAACTTAGTGGTGCTTTCCAGCTCTATATTGTGATATCCTTGAGCCCCTGAGGGTTTTCTGGTTTGACTGGTTGGTCAGGTCCTGCCTTTTTTCTGGGTCAGAGCAACTATAAACCATGAGAGGGATCAATGACAACCTATCTACAAAAACGTTATTTCAGTTTGTTCTTGTTTATGGATCAGGGGAGCAAGTGTAGTGACTGCAGAATGTTAATCAGCACCTCCTGGATTGGACACCTGTGTGTTTACAATCACAATATGCCATTTCCCTGTGCAAGTGTCATCTTCCCATTATTTTTGCTATCTGGGATGCAATGGCTCACTAGTTCCACACCTATAATTTCCAGACTTCTATATCTCTGTATTTCCCCACAAAGCTCTACCCGAAGCTTACACGCTGAGTTTTTACTGGGGTAAATTGAGCACCACCTGTGGGAAACAGCCAAGGAAGAGGATCATCAGCTCTCAGAGGGTGTCCTCTTCTCCCCTGGATGTTCCAAAACATCTTTGGAAGGGCAGACTGCACACCAGGTAGGTGCCAACCACCTCCACAGGCGGGCTGTGCCCAGAGCGCAGCAGGACGCCCTCACATCACGCCTCACTGTCACGTGCGCGAGATACGTAACGCACGGTCAGAGAACAGGGACAAGGCTCTCGGGAAGTGGGATGGGGTCAGCCTGGGAACCCTTCACAGGTTTCCACCTCGCTGACAGACCCAGCTCAAGCTCCAGCGAGTGGGCAACGAACACGTCAGCGCATCTGCTGCGGAACCTGCACCCCAGGCACACCGTCCCCGAGGGAAGCGGTGAGAGCCAGCCAGGACCAGGCACCTGGTCAGCCTGCACGGGTCTGCAAACCCCCTCTGGTTGCCTGCGTAAGCCGGGCGGAGGCAAAACGCAGCTCCTGTGCCTCTGTGTGCCGGGGCTCAGCCTCCGGGTGCATCCCAGCCCTAAACTGGCTACAGACTGCACGACACTGGCAGCGTGGCTGGGGCCTTCGTGAAGCAGTGATCCCTTAATGATGTCATTAATGATCAGCTGGCTGCTTAATGGCTGTATCTGAAGTATATGCAAACTCTCATGCTGTAAAAACCTCAGCAAAGAGGTAATCTCAGTACTTCATGAATATTAACTTTTGCATTCTCCAGTTGCTGCTCAGAAACATCATTCTTCACACGTTTCCACTTGTCTCTTTGCAGGCACCGCTGAGCACCCCCGGGAGGATTCCCTCCCAACCAGGGGCGTGCTGCGGGCTCTGGTTCCGCAGGGCTGCGGACCCCAACAAGCGTTATGGCCGACTTTATGATGAAGTGATTTAATTGGGGAATGCACCTGCTTTAATAGAGCTTCTATTTGATAAATTAAGTAGTGACTTTGATTCGATACCCACAAAAGTGTTCATTGCTATTAATCAGATAGAGATCTGATCAGTGGTTATCTTAGTATGGAGCACACCTGGATGTCACGGGAAACTGCACTAGAGAACGTGCAATTGCGTTTAATGGGGGTGACTACTTTTATTTCAGTGGGTGACATCTAGCTTTCATTATAATCACATTTTATAATCATATATTCTTTCCGACACCTAATTATTTCAGTGAACTTCAGAATGTGCAGGCTTAGAGGTCCAGGAAATCAAAGCTAACTATAAACCAGAAAAGAAAGTCAGTTATGCACAGTTAGTGTTCTGCAAATAACATACAAAGTTTTAATAAAGAAAATCCCTTACCTTGAAATACATACTTTGAGAAGGATATGGGATTTGCATTTAACTGAGTAGTCATTATCTGAACATAAATGGGGGACTTTCATATAGACTATAAAATATAGCACACCCTCAAAGTTGATTTTTGCAGAATATACATATAAATCAGATGTGCACATTCAGTGTATTTTTTTTGGGGTGTGTAAATATGTCTTTCACAAGCAGAATAGTTTGAGGTACCACAGAGACTAGGAACTAGTGGTAAACCACGATTCTTGCATCTGAAAAATGACCCGTTTTGTGACCTTGTACAAGATCTCAGTTTCCTTACCCATGGAAGGGGTGAAATTACACTTACTTAGGCCACCGAGAAGACCAGAACTCTCTGGGTGGGCTCACTTTAAGGAGAGCAGACCTGGATCAAAGCTGAGCATTTCAGAAAACTGCATCCCCAGGTTTGTGGGCACCAACATGGCCTTTGGAAGATGTGTTTGATAACGGTATTCAAACAGACTGCTGGTGACCTGGAGATAAGGACTGATCACTGCAGTGGGGACAAGGACCAAGCCCCTTCCCAGGTGGGGTGTCTCAGCAGAGCAAGAAGGACAGAAAAAGCTTCAGAAATAAAGAGCCAGCAAGGCCATGGAAGTCATGATACAGGGACTTATTCCGCTGATGTACCACATTTAAAAAAAAAGGGGGGGATGTGGGAGAGAAACAGTACTCCTAAACCTTTTTTATTTCCTTTTATGATGCTCCCAGGGAGCTTTAGACCCTCTTGAGTCTTGTAGTCCTGTCTAGACTGTAATTTGAAGAGAGAGAAATGGTTAATTCAGAAGTAATTGAGATTAAGGTCGGGAATGGTAACCTTACAGGAGGCTTTGGTCATATGGACGATGGTGCACTAAAACCGCACCCAGGAGTGTCCGGTGGGATCCTCAGTGAAACAAGGACCGTGGAAAACAAACACCCAGAGATTCAGAACTGAAACTCAGGCTCACAGCTAAAGGTGTTTGATTTCTAGAACCTGGACTGGAATTGAGCCAGATGTTTGGCTTCTGCATCACATTGGCAATAAAGAGGGATGAATTATTTAGATAATGACATGATTTATTTAGAAATAAAGAGATACGAAGACCAGCTAATACAGTATAGAAGGTCAACACAAAGCTGGCACACTAATTGCCAGTGATACTCCCGACAGCTGCCTTTGCACACCAGAGGCTGACCTTCTGAACACAGAGGCTTCTGAAGGAGTTTAATTGAAGTATAATCTCAAAACAGCAGAAAAGTGGATCTTTTAATGATTCCCCAACAGAATCAAAAAATTAAATCAAGGAAGGAATCAATAAGTAAAGTATCAAAAAATGTCTTTGAAAAGGTAAGAGCAATGCCCTAATGAGAAAAATCCATTAGATTTCATTTAGTATTTGAGTAACTTATAAAGCAGTTAACCTAATAAGGGAATAGCATATTGATAAGCACCTAAGAAACAGAATTAGGCACAGAGATACACACAGGCACGTGGATGTATGAGCAACAAAGGACATAAACCTATGTATGAACTAAGGGAAATTCACCTTTTTCAAGGTTAATATTGTGCCATAGGCCACACTTTCTCCAAACTTGTTCATAATCCTAAAATTGGCTGAGGAATTTTAAATTATGTACACCTGTAGCGAGTAACAGATGTGATTATGGTGGGACAGTTCTAGACTTCTCACTGGGTGCATAATCTCAGCACTTTGATAACGAACTTCAGTGAGATGTTGGTTAACGTCACAGGGCGCAGCTACTTCGCTCCTCCAGTGAAATGTAAATACCATTTACCAAAATACCAAAAAATGTAAATGCTCGCTGAGCACCTTACCTGGCTTCAGGTGGGCGAAGGGGATTTCCCCCGTTAGCAGCTCCCAGAGGCACAGAGCGTAGCTGAAGACGTCGGCTTTGACGGTGTACCTGGTGCACTGGGTGAACACCTCGGGGGCCATCCACCGCAGGTTCTGCACGCCACAGACACCGGGAGAGCGTTAACGGCCCTGGCTGCCCACACGGGCCTCTTCTCCTCTACTTGTGTTTGTTTTCCTTTCTTTTCTTCCCTCCATAAAATAACTGGTAAACTTGCCAGGAAAACTTTTCACCTCATTTGCAAAATCCAGTCAGCATGTTATTGCAGGTCCCACGTAACAGCACCAGCACCACAGCTGCCCCAGCCCCGTAAAGCCAGGCTGGTCAGCTCTAACCACGAGAGCAGCGCCAGAACAAAAGCAGAGGACCCAGCCTGAAGGTCTGCAGGCCACCCCAGAAGGTCTGGGCATGCCATATAATGCCAGTTAACTACTCCTCCAGCTGGTGGACAGAAAAACTAACGACAACAGCCTCGGGCTGGCGCCTTCTCTCTCGGGATCTCGCTGCTTCCGCAGGAGCCCAGTTCTGGGGCTGCCTCACCAGCAGCCGGCCTCTCACTGGTGTGATGAGTTCAGGGTTTTTGCAGATTTCTTGCACCTTGGTAAGTTAATTTAAAAGACATCCCTCCTCAGCGAGACGTCATCGAACTACAGCAGGACCCCGGTCCGCAGCAGCTGCACTCACTCCTCACACAGTGAGTAATTTAATTCCTCACAGGAGTAATTTAACAAATTACAGTTTGCTAAGAGACCCCTGCCAAACCCTGGTTTTAGCATCACCCTGCCTACTCCACAGTTAGTCATGATGGCGACACAAACTGCCCGGACTGTGAAGTGACACCCAGAATGAAAGCACCTGGGCTCAAACTTAGGAAACCAACAGCACTGTCTTGTAAAGCTGACTGTGAGCAACAGGCTTGTGCTGGAGAGCTCTGAAAGAAAATCAGTGGGGAATAACTAATTCCTTGTTTGAAATAGGAACCACCTGCCAGCAACATGTGTGTGTGAGTGGGGAAGGCTGCGTTAAAAAAATGACTCTTCACAGAGGATTTGTGGGGCAATAGAGCTCCAAAGACAACCTTGTAAACATTTTCTGTTGCAGATGTTATATATGCACTCATCTTTGCTATTCAAGAAGAATTTTTCTTAAAAGAAAAAAAATAACCTCACAACTTTAAGAGAAGAAAATACTGTACCGGTCCACCTTTTCCAACAAAAATATTTCTAATGTAATTTTTTTCCTAAACTGAGTTAGCCTGTATGTTTTGTACTAATTATGTGGAACAAAACAAGAAACAAACCCCAGGTTGTTTTGTCATATTGTCTTCATCCAGGGATTGCAAAAATCTAGATTCTGAAACACACAGAACAGAAAGAAAAATTACTGTCAAGCCAACACCCATGTTATTATAGAAAAGTCTTGGTAAAAAGTGTTGGGTTTTTTTTTAATAACTCCGGAGTTTCAGAGTCCAGAAGAACCGTGATGGCTGTTTTTCAACACGGATGTGAACAGGCAATGGGGCTTCTGAAGCCTGGATGCCAAATTCAGTGCTGGCATAAATCTGCAAATCTCCATCGACATCAATAGCCGTTTACAGCAGCTGAGGACCCAGCTCAGGATCTGTGGCATGGTGGTTATTTGCTCTGGTTAATGCAGCTGTATCTAGTTCTCCAACAAACGGTCCCCCAGCCCTGCACTAACATGCCACCCCCCAGAAGCCTGTCAGTCTTATTTCATGTCAGAAAAGCAGCCCACCTAAAACCGACAGGATCTTGCATGAATATAGAGAAGGTGGTACGTGCTATGTTCTGTCACATGTAAATAAGTCTCCAGGCAGGACTTAGGTGCCTTTGACATATCAGAAAAATACACTTCAGGGTGCATTTGTCAGCAGCAGCCCAGATGAGCAGCTCCTGGCACGTGGCCCAAGCCTGGTGCTTTCTCCTCGCTCCCTGTTGCACAGGGACAACGGCCACGTCTCACGTCAAGTATTTCCTGAGGAGTTAGGCCAAGCCTAGCTGCCTATACTGCCCTCTGCACAGAGAACGAGCTCCCATGCAGCTCGGCTGATAACACCAAGACAATGCACAAAACACAGATCCATACGGTGCAGCCAAGTCTCACTGTGAACAGTTACTAAGGTCCGGAAGGGAGATAACCAGAGACAGTCTGCTCTCTTAACTAAAAGGAAAGAAACCGGTTCTAGGCAGACTTGCAGAGTGACACCCTCCTCAGATCCTGAACACTCGCCCTGAAAGAGGAGGGCACACCTTCCCTCAGAGGCATCTTCACTCAACCTCTCCCTCTGACCTACCGCTCACAGCCTGCACCCACCTCCCTGTCACCGGGGCTCCCTTCTCAGCTGAAGGGTGGGGTACACCCCAGCACCTCAGACAGGAGAAAAATAGGGGTGTTCTCACCCCTGAGAGCCTTCTGTGTCCTTTCATAATAACAAAATGAAGAGTAACCGCCTCAGCCTTTTTTTAGTCAGCACATGTTTAGTTTTGGAGAATGTGAGGTTAATTTATAAATGTTTCATAAAAACTCCTTACCTCCAAAGTCGGCAACAACTGCATGACCATCTTCATACAGAAGAATATTGTGACTGGGGAAAAAAAAAAAAAAAAGGTAATTGTTTAATGGTGTCTAAAAGATGGTGAAAATGTTATGTTTTTTGGTTCACAGCTAAACTCTTGAGGGGTTCAGGTCACCTGCTTAAGTAGATAAAGTCTACAGGTAAAGCACTTTTAGCTACATCTCATTTATTGTTAGAAAGTACAACATTAACTGAGAACTCAAACACAGTATCTTCATAAATGAGAATCACAGACTCACTGAGTGGTTTCAGTTGGAAGGAACCGTAAAGCCCCTCCAGTGCCACCCCCTGCCCCGGGCAGGGCCACCTGCCACCAGCCCAGGGTGCCCAAAGCCCCGTCCAACCCGGCCTTGAACCCTGCCAGGGAGGGGGCAGCCACAGCTGCTCTGGGCAGCCTGGGCCAGGGCCTCACCCCCCTCTCAGGGGAGAATTTCTGCCCCAGATCTCATCTAAATCTCCACTCTGACAGTTTAAAACCCTTACCCTTCATCCTATCCCTCCCTCCTTTCCCGCAGCCCCTTTCAGCCCTGGGGGGCCGCTCTAAGGTCTCCCCGGAGCCTTCTCTCCTCCAGCTGAACCCCCCAACTCCCTCAGGCTTTTCTTTATATGCGTCTATTTTTGCAGTTGGCTTTATTCACGTGACGGGGCATTTGAACGAGTCTGCTCGTGAGCCCAGCGCTTGAAGCCACTTGGCTGGCCCTGGACAGCCAACGGCAGCACTCCGGCATGGTGAGGGCTGCCCGGCGCGGTGCTTTGGGAGCCTGGAGGCAGAGGCAGAAGGGCTCTGTGTGCCCACGGCAGCCCCCAGCCACTGCGAGGGAGAGGAGGGTGGTCGTGCTCTGCCGCCCGCTGCAGGGGGTGATGGCCGAGGGTGAGCCCTGCGCGGGTCGGCGGCGTGTCACGGTCAGAGTTTGCTGTTCCTCCAGTGAAGAGCAGTGTGGAACTGGGCCCGCTCTCTCCTGTAAATGTGATCCTAAAAAAATGAGGCAGCAAGGAGCAGAGTGCTGTCTGTTCTGTCACGTGGTTATAGAAAAACATCTGTGCAATCCTCACACATTTCTCTTAGAAACAGAAAGAGTGAGAGATGAGGTATGTTATAGAGACAAAGATGATATAAGGACCTGACTGTAATTAGATATTCACTCTGAAACTCTTCTGTAAATTCCAGTTATCAGTTGCTGCTTACTTAAGAAATGAAATCTCATTTCTATTTTTTTCAGTTTGGGGTTTTCAATGAAGCTGCTAAATGATAACTAAGAGCTCAGGCAGGGCTGGAAAGGTTAAGTTTAGTTTGTATAAACTGATGATGCATGCCTCATTTGATGGCTCTTTGTTTACTCTTAAACTACGGAGTATGGCAGAGACAAGATTACAGCTATTTGGGTTATGGCAATATCCTTTTAGTAACTATTAAGGAATGAGATACCGCTGAACAAGAGTTTTGCCACATCCACTTTGGAGGGAAGTAAGTTCCAGCTGCCCTATAGCTCTGAATCTTTTCCCACACAACATTCCTGAGGGAGACAGAACCAAGAACTTGGCAGCCTCTTGCTTAAGCATCTGTAGCACGTCGATATCTTCAGGGAGAATACAGCATCTTCTTTTAGGGTCAGATATCATCATCATTATCAAATGAAAAGTAAATTCTCAGAGAACAGAGGGTTCAGCAGTGCCTGGACAGAGAATCCCGTGTCCCCGGTGTACGCTTCGGGCCACACACGTGGGCACCTTCACAACACTCCAAGTTCAGTCTGCGGCGTCTCAGAAGCTGCTCTTAAATGTGGATAAAATTCAGCCCAGCTCTGCTTTTCCCCCTTGCTGAGCTGGTGTTTGTGCTCCACAGGCTGGCACGCTCCTTCCCCCGAAGCCCTTCCTCTTGCCCTGGTCTCAGCCTGGCAGATCCAGTGCACGTCTGTCGGCCACAGCCATCGGCTGCCAGCTGGTGCTGCAGGCGTGGGGCCCTCAGCCGTCAACCAAGGTGCAAGGACTGCAGTGACTTCAGAGGAGCCTTTGTTTTAATTCTATATACTGCTCCGAGGGAGAAATTCTTCCCTCCTCATCGAAAACATAAGTTGGGTGCTCAGGGTAAATGCCCCCCTCGGAGCACACGCGTACACCCGCTTCCCCGCCACAGGGGCCGGAGCATCGCCGCAGCTCTGAGTGCCGATAGCCTCCAACTGCCGACGCACCAGAGACAGAGACCCATTGATCCCGGGACTGGGTCCAGGGCCCCTGGTATATTAATTGAATTGAGTCTCCCTGGAAATGCCAAATACAGAGGTGTGGGGTTTTCCCCCGTAAGTTCCTACACAGCCAGAATTTCTTCTTGTTTCCATTCTGCTTAAGCAGTAAAGTTTATGGAGACTCCGCCTCACTATTTTATTTTCTATCAGCACATATTGTTTCAGACATTAATTTTCAAGTCAACAGAAGGCATTTCCAAATGCCAACGCCATGTGAAAGATTCCTGAGCTCGTGGCAGGTGAGCTGGTGCAGCTGTACCAATCACATGCCCGTACTCCTGCATGAGAACACCAACCCTGAGCCAAAAACATTGGCATGTTGTCATGGCAGTCTGCCCAGAAGACTTATCCCTGCCCCTCAGGAGGGCTAATTAGTTCAGGTTGAGCATCCCTCCAGAGGAGACATTCTGCTTGCAAGGCTGGGAACTTCTGTCTTGTTCACTTGCATTTAATCTACTCTAAATCTCCAGAACTCAGGAGCTGATGCTTTTCTCACTCGTATCATCTCGCCTTTTATCTGTTCAATCCAAGCCCAAGAATAAAGTGGTCCCAAATGAGAATTCATTGTTTTCCAAGGATAATGTTACTTCCTTCTCTTTTTTGATGCCACCAAGGTGAAAATGTGTAATAAATACCCATTCGGTTCTTATCTAATCTGAATATCTTCCTTCTCACAATTTCACTGTTAGAAGTGGTTGGTTTTGTTTTGTTTTGTTTTAGTTTGCAGCTCTCCTGCATACCTGCTCACAAGATGACACTTTTATAAAATGGATAAGAAATATTTATAGTCTTACGTAGGAATCTTTTTTAGTTGTTTTGTTCATAGTTGGAAGCTTATATTTTTAAGTCCTCTAATTAATAGAGAGGATGCGTCCCTAGGGTTAGATTTCCTCCCAGACATCATCCATACCCCTCACTATCTTCGAACAAATAATATGTAAATAAAGCTGAATTCTGTTCGCATTACCTTCAATAAAAATGGGTTTAAACCGCCAGACAAATCTTGTAATTCACCTCTGGTTCTAGCAGTTTTAGGACAAATCCAGTAGATTTAACTTTAAGCCTCAAAATATCTCTGCTAACAATCCAAGGTAAAGTTCTGGTTATCCAATCCTTTACATTCACTGAGGTCTGCAGTTGCTATGGTTTCAAAGATTTCAGAGAAATCAAAACACTTTGATAGGTGTCAGTACAAGCAATTATCTTTGATAAATGATTGCGCTGATCTCTAGATGTCCTGACAGAGGATGCCTCGTGCACGTGCTGACCAAACAAGAGTTCTCCTGCATTTATTCCTTTCTTCCTAACTCCAGACACTGTCTGGGGCAAAGATGAAGACTTTATGATGGAATAAAAAAATCTCACAAGTAGGTCTCACATGAATATCACGTTTCCCTGGGATTTCCCGCTGTCTGCGCGGCCTCCCCCGGCTGCCGTACCCCGGAGGGTATGGAGGCAGCTCCGGCTGCAGCACCCAGCCTGGCAGGGGCACCGCCAGTGCCTCCCGGAGCCCTGGGCAGCCCGGCCTCTGGAATCCTGCCCCGTTAAACCACAGCTCCAGCCTCGGCCCGGAGCCGCGCGGGCTCCCACGGCACCCGCCACCGCCCGAAGCCCTCCTTGTTGTTCCAGTGACGAGCAACACTCCGTGCTTGCGATTGCACCCATCAGACATTGACAAGGAACACGGTTCCATGGGCAGTAAGGAGAAACTGAAAAAAAATTCACACAGTGCTCCCGACTCGTTAAGCACATGGGAATCTGCACCTCACCCGAGACCCAGCTCAGGGCCAGAGTGACGTATCACTCGCCACCAGCCCCACTCTGCCACCTCCCAGAGACGCTCTGGAAGGGGCCACTGTGGAGCCGGAACAGAACCGAGGGCAGGACGGCGACCCCACCTCCAGCGACTGGCAGATCTCCGTCAGCGCGAGCAGAGGGAAGCTCTCACCCTCCCCACCGAGGTAACTGCAGGATGACTGACATCTTTTCATAAACAAAGGCAGGTATTTTAAGAAACAAAGTACCTTTGTCTCATGAAAGTAACATTTGTATTATTAAGTGTGGTTATTAAATCGATTAGGATTTATCATTGTGTCATCATTCCCCCCCCCCAGCTTAATGGGTTTCTTATGGCTTCTAGTGATCCATTCTATACGGACTCTTCAGATCTGGTGCTTGCCTTCTGTACTTCAGCACAGATTAGGAATTACCACTGTGAGTTTACACTTATGTCAGCCTTAAAAGGAGAAAGAATCAGTCTATGTAATTTCATTTAAAAGCCATCACTGTGTTTATATTCAAATACCATCTTTTTCAGTTTGTCACTGAGATTCAGTGCACATATTGAATAAAGCTGTTATGCTTGATCTATGACTAACGAAAGAAATTGTTTTGCTCTAGTATTGATTAGAAGCTGACATTCATGAGGGCCATGAAGATGCTCAGGGGCTGGAGCCCCCCCTGTGAGGACAGGCTGGGAGAGTTGGGGGGTTCAGCTGGAGGAGAGAAGGCTCCGGGGAGACCTTAGAGCGGCCCCCAAGGGCTGAAAGGGGCTGCGGGAAAGGAGGGAGGGATAGGATGAAGGGTAAGGGTTTTAAACTGTCAGAGTGGAGATTTAGATGAGATCTGAGGCAGAAATTCTCCCCTGAGAGGGGGTGAGGCCCTGGCACAGGCTGCCCAGAGAAGCTGCAGCTGCCCCCTCCCCAGCAGGGTTCAAGGCCGGGTTGGACGGGGCTTTGGGCTAGTGGAAGGTGTCCCAAACCATTC